ACCAGGAGAGGACACATTATGGCTGCAACTAACTATTTACCAGGTCTCCCACCTGAAAGGACATTTTATAATTGCAGTTAATGGAAAGTGGCTGTTTCGAAAAGAACCAAAGCATAAAGAAGAGGGCTTTAGTAAAATCATATCGTTTCCCTCGGTACATCCTTGGGGATTGAAAAGTTTCTAAAGATGACATTATCTAAGCTATAATGTGAAGAAATACACTGTATTATTTTGCATGGAACTTAGAAATACAGAAGCATGACTAAAAAGTTTTCAGTTTTTACGCAGTAGGACCCAGGGAGAGACATGCTGTCAGACATCAAATTGTTATCACTAGAAAGACAGAATCAGAGACGCCAGGCTTTTCTATAGCAGATGATGTAATTCTCAAAACCATCCAACTCTCTCTGATCAGTTGTTCTGATGACTAATTTGACTTCCCAGATATCTTGATACTAGAAAGGAAGGTATCCTGGATAGTGGATAAATTCACTAAATGAATTCACTAAAATGGTACATTCCTTTGTCAAATTCAAAAACTGGCATCATGGCTTATACTGTTTTGTGTGGGTGTGTGAATCTGGTTAGCAAAAGTCATTTCTTGGTTGTCTGATCAGCTCTAGGTATACTTATAAAATAGAGTTTCTGGATCTAGGAGTTCAGAATTAGACTCTACACTTTGGTAACCAGCCCAAGCTACTGCCAGCAAGCTTTTCTTGGAGACGTGTATTTCATTCTAAGTTTAAAACAAGCTGCTCTCTATTTTGTTAAAAAGTCTGTATTATATTGAGTTGATCTTTTTTCCATAGAATATTTGAACACTAATACCCATTAAATAATAATTCCCCATTACTCCCTCCCCCCAGCCCCTGGTAACCACCATTCTACTTTCTGTTTCTATTAATTTGACTGTTCTAGATATTTCATGGAAGTGGAATCACACAAGGTTTGTCTTTTTGTGTCTTATCACTTAGATAATATCTTCAAAGTTCATCCACATTGTAGCACGTATTTCATTCCTTTTTTTTTTAATGGCTAACAGTATTCCACTAAAAGGACACACATATTCTTTTTTTTTTTTTTAATAAATTTATTTATTTATTTATTTTGTCTGTGTTGGGTCTTCATTTCTCTGCGAGGGCTTTCTCTAGTGGTGGCGAGCGGGGGCCACTCTTCATCGCGGTGCGCGGGCCTCTCACTGTTGCGGCCTCTCTTGTTGCGGAGCACAGGCTCCAGACGCGCAGGCTCAGTAGTTGTGGCTCACGGGCCCAGCTGCTCCGCGGCATGTGGGATCTTCCTAGACCAGGGCTCGAACCTGTGTCCCCTGCATTGGCAGGCAGATTCTCAACCACTGCACCACCAGGGAAGCCCAACACACATATTCTTTATCCATTCTTCTGTTGATGGACATTTGGGTTATTTCCACCTGTAACTACTGTGAAGAATGCTGCTATGAACACTGCAGTACAGTCAATTATCTTTTAAAAGAGATTTAAACGATAATAAAAATTGTAGGTATTTACCCATGTAGCTACCATTTCCCTTGCTCTTCATTCTTTGGGGTATGTCCACATTTCCTTCTGCCTGAAGGGCTCCCTTTAACATTTCCCATGAGTGCATATCTTCAGACATGCCTTAAAAAAGTCTTCATTTCACTTTGGTTTTTGAAAGATACCCTTTGCTAGATACAGAATTCTAGGTTGACAGGTTTGTTTTTCTTTTCTTTCTATAAAAAAAGTTTTAAAGTTGGTGCTCCACTGTCTTCTCACTTGCATTGTTTCTGACAAAAATTCTGATGCATCCTCATCTTTTTCCTCTGTCTCTGTTCTCTTTATCACTGGTTTTAGGCAGTTTTGTCATGTTGTGCCTTGGTATAGTTTTCTTCATGTTTTTTTTTGTGTTTGATGTCTGTTGATGAGTTTACAGTTTTCATCAAATTTGAAAAACTTTCAGCCATTATTTTTTCAAATATTAAAAAATTTTCCCTCCTCTTCTCTCTTACAGAGACTCCACATGCACGTATATTAGGCCACCTGAAGTTGGCTCATGGCATCCTAAGGTTCTGTTCTTTCGGGGAAGCATGTGGCGGGCTCTCCCCCCCCCACCCCCCAACCGTGTGTATTTCATTCTGCCGTGGAAGCACGGAGTCCTGACCACTGGGCCACCAGGGAAGTCCATGTATTTCATTCTGGGTAGTTTTACTGCTATATCTTCAAGTTTACTCTTCTGCATAGGTCTAAACTGTTAACTCCATCAAGTGTATTTTTTTAAACCTCAGACACGATATTTTTCATTTCTATTCATAAAATATCCATATTTTATTAAAACAATTGTTTTAATGACCTCGTCTGTTAATTCTATAATCTGTGTCAGTTCTGGATCAGTTTGATTGATTTTTCTTCTCATTTGAGGTCATAGTTTCCTGCTGTTTTGTATGCCTGGTAAGTTTTGATTGGATGCCATGCACTCTGAATTTTATCTTCTGAGTGCTGGATATTTTGTATTCCTATAAATATTTGAGGCCTTTGTTCTGGGACACTGTTAGATTACTTGGAAACAGTTTGGTTCTTCTGGTGATTTGTTGGGTGGGATTAGGGCAGTGTTTAGTCAGGGCTAATTATACCCCACCACTGAGGCCAAGATTCTTGTCAGGATTCTACCCAATGTCCCACGAATCATGAGGTTTTTCCAATCTGGCTGTGGGGACAGGCACTACTTGCAGCCCTGTGTGAGCACTGGGCATTGTTACCTCTACTTCTCTGGGTGGTTCTTCCCCAAGCCTTGGGTGGCTTCCTCACAGGCGTGTGCTGAACTACTCAGCTGGATACCTGAAGTGGACCCTCTGAAGATCTCTGGAGTTCCCTCCGTGCACTCTCTCTGCTCTGGTGCTCTGTGCAGCAAACTCTAGCTATCTTAGTATCTCCCAGCTCGCAGCTCTGTCTTTCCAGTTAGGGAGACTACCGAGCTCTGCTTTGGCTGGCCCCTGCTCATGCCACAGACCAGAACTCTCTCCAGGAAGTAAGCTGGCTAACTGTAGGGCTCACTTCATTTGTTTCTCATCCTTCGGGGATCACTGTCTTTCCTTGCTGGATGTGCACTGTTATTTTTTTTTAATTGAAGTATAGCTCATTTACAATGTTGTGTTCATTTCTGCTGTACAGCAAAGTGACTCAGTTATACACATATAAATATTCTTTTTTATATTCTTTTCCATTGTGGTTTTGTCCCAGGATATTGAATATAGTTCCCTGTGCTATAGAGTAGGACCTTGTTGTTTATGCATTCTGTATGTAATAGTTTGCATCTGCTAACCTCAAACTCCCAGTCCAACCCTCCCGCATGTGCACTGTCTTGAAAACCACAGTTTCACATATTTTGTCCTTTTGCTTTTTTAACCTTTATCCTTTCATTCATTTTAGTAGATACACTGTATTCTATTGTGTTCATAGATGATTATTTATTAATCCAATCACATACTGATGCATACTTATGTTTTTTCACCCAGTTTTTTGACTGCTACAATGTATGAAACTATTCATATATCTGTCTTTGGATGTATGTGTAAATATATTGCAGGATAAATCCTGAGTTATGGAATTCCTAGATAAAGTGGTCTGTGTATTTCATTTTATTTATTTCAAAAAATTTATTTATTTATTTATTTTTGGCTGCACTGCGTCTTTATTGCTGCGCGCAGGCTTTCTCCAGCTGCGGCAAGCGGGGGCTACCCTTCATTGTGGTATGCGGGATTCTCATTGTGGTGGCTTCTCTTGCTGTGGACCTCGGGCTCTAGGCGTGCAGGCTTCAGTAGTTGCGGCTCACACAGGCTTAGCTGCTCCGTGGCATGTGGGATATTCCCGGACCAGGGCTCGAACCCGTGTCCCCTGCATTGGCAGGCGGATTCTTAACCACTGTGCCACCAGGGAAGTCCTGGTCTGTGTATTTTAAATTTTGACAAGTACTGCCAAATTGTCCATTCAAAAGGACTGTATCTTATACTCCTACCAATAGCATTTCCCTAAACCCTTGAGAATACTGGTTGATATCAACACTTTAAAGTTTGCTAAATTTATAGGTGAAAAATAACATTTCACTATTTTGATCTGAATAATACTGCAATTGTGCACTTTTTGAAGATGTGATACAAAACAGCTCTAAAATCACCTAAATCTGGGCCTTTGTTATAAGTAATTCTTTGATAATTTTCTTAATTCTTCCTTTGGAATATTGGCATATTTATGTCAATATCATTTCTGGGGTCAATCTAGGCAATATTTTTCTTAAATTCACCCATTTCATCGGTATTTTAAAATTTATTCGCATAATTTTTCAAAATGCTCTTTTACAGTCATCTCAATTTTCCCTCTATTTTTTGAAAACAAGTGTTTTAAGGTTTTAAACACCAACTATATATCCCTTTCCTTCCACTTTCCAGCTTCCATATTTCCACTTGCTCAACTGCTCTCATCCCCAGGTAAAAAACAGTCCTCATGTGTCCTGCTTCAGATAAACAAATATAGTCATGGCACATAATTCCCCTCCACCCCGCTTCCAAGTCTCACTATGTCCCCTCTCCCTTTTCCAAATTACGTTTTCTCCCCGTTCCCTGTTTCCTTAAAAAAAATCACAGTAAAACATGTATAAAAAGTACTGAATGACCGTTAAATACAAGCCAGACCAGTATGCTATAGACAAAGTGCTATGAAAGATGCGTGCAGTAAAATACAAATCCCTGACCTCAGGGAGATTCCCCTTCTCCTGTCTTAAAAAGAAATGGCTACCAAAAATATTCTCTTCCCTAATTAGTCTTAATAGCCTAACCCCAAACTTGTAGTCACTTAGCCATTCCGTCAATGCCTCACCATATATACAGGTAGAGCTTACTGATGATGCAGCCAGTTATGTACCTATTGTTCTGTTTTACTGTGGTCATAGCTAAGTCAGTTTCACCTGAAATCAGTCTTTTCTTTCCAAGGAGGTCTCTTTCAAGCTTGCCTTACCTTACGGACATGACAGGAAAAGAGGACGTTCATGTATTTGTCCTTCCGTTTCAGTTCATTCGCAACGGGGACGAAGGTGCCTGAGGTCTGAGGTGTATCTGGCTTCTGAAAGAAAAAGGAAACACGATAAAATGAGTATGCTTAACATTTTATTTTATTTTATTTTTTTAAATTAATTAATTTATTTATTTTTGGCTGCATTGAGTCTTTGTTGCTGCGCACGGGCTTTGCTCTAGTTGCAGCGAGCAGGGGCTACTCTTGGTTGCAGTGCGCAGGCTTCTCATTGCAGTGGCTTCTCTTGTTGCGAAGCATGGGCTCTAGGCCCGTGGGCTTCAGCAGTTGTGGCTCGCGGGCTCTAGAGCGCAGGTTCAGTAGTTGTGGCGCACGGGCTTAGTTGCTCTGCGGCATGTGGGATCTTCCCAGACCAGGGATTGAACCCGTGTCCCCTGCATTGGCAGGCGGATTCTTAACCACTGCGCCACCAAGGGAAGCCCTGCTTAACATTTTAGATGAGAAGGCAGTCTTTTACTGCTTTATAACTCTACTCACATAACTTCACACATGTACTTTTTACCTCCCCATCCCAGATGATAAGCTACTAAAGGGTTATTATAACACCAAAGATCCCAGAATATTTTAAAAATAAGGAATGGGAGAGAGGGTGAAATCCAGCTTTGGGAATAACTGATACAAAGGCGGTAATTAAAAATAGTTGCTGAATTATGCAAGGGAAGGTTTAAATGTTCGAAGCCAGATTATTGAACGTACCTAATTCACATGGATACGAGACAGAGAACTCTCTTTAAAGTGAGGGAAACATCAAACATCTTTACACTGAGAAGCAATAAAATCTTTTAGTTTAGTATCTCTCACAGAAATTAAGTTTCTGAAGGTGCCTCAGTCTTTCTACAAATACTTGGAGAAAAATTCTTCTCTTTCTTTGTTAAGGGAGCAGCAGTGGATTCCACTCTGTCCTCCTGGACTTACCGAAGCAAGATAGTTGCCCTCCCAGGCCCTCTGGAGCCCAAGGTCAGCCCTTTGACCCTTCAACATTTCTACAGCTGCAACCTTTGCCCTAACCTGGGGCAGGTCTGAAGCAGGTATGGTCTTGATGAGCTGGGATGCTCTCCATCTGTAAGTAAACAAGCAAAACGTATGAGACTTTAGAAATAAAGTCCCATTCATTCTCAAAAATAACTGAAGCAGCCATTAAGTAGAATTAAATTACTTGCGTGCTACCCTAAAAAAAGTTAAATGCCTCCAAAATATACATAGAACGTGTTAAAATACACATAGCTGTACGTGGACAGAGACTTTTTGTAGAACTTCCTCTGCCGCTTGCGTGTTTTGGAAGCAACCAGAATTTAGTGATACGTGGACTCTCTTATATCTGTAGTTAGGGTGCAGGGACTTTGGATTCATCATTCATTCATTCAGCAAATGTTTTCTAGGCACGTACTAAACTCCAGATGCCGTTCTAGGGAGTGGAAGCACAGCAGTAAACAAACAGATGAAGGTCCTTTCTGCTAGGTGCTGGTATTCTAGAGAGCAGAGACAGACAAGACATAAACCAATGCTTAAATACACAGTATGGATGATGTGATTACTGCTATGGAAGAAAATAAGGCAAGGAAAGGGGGACAGGAGTGCAGCAGAGGGAAGGACCAGGGAGCAGGTGTTAGTCACAGAGGGTGGTCTGGGAGGCACCCCTGATAAGGATGTGTGAGCAGGAAGTGGAGGTGCCAGCTGTATGGACACTTGTTCCAGGAAGAGAAAACAGTGCGTGCAAAGGCTCTAAAGTGTGAGCTTGTTTGGTGTGTGAGAGGACAAGCAAGGAGTCCTGGCAGCTGGAGCAGGGGCCTGGGGGAAGGGGAACAGGAGGGGGTGCCAGAGGGAGAGCCGGGGCCAGGATCCACAGAGCCAAGGGGGCCCTGTGCCTGGTCAGCCTGTCCCCTCTTCACCGCCCACGGGGGCCCAGGACAGGGTCCACAGCTGACCGACTCCAGAGACCCATGGCAAACAGCTGTGCCGGGGAACCCGGACCCGAGCCACCCAACCTGGGGGTGGTGCAGCACACGCTTACTCATCCTGATCAAGCAAACTGCCATCTTTAAACACGTGTAGACGACAGCAGCTGCCGCCGGAAAAGTGAGCAGCCCTGACCACGTGAAGAAGACTCCCAGCCTTCCCAGGATGAAAAAGAAGTGCTAGGAGGCGTGGGAGCGAGCTGAAGCACGATGAGACACACACGGAGGCGGCAGAAGAAAGCAAGACCCCGCAATCACAGCAAAATCCTTTAACACACTTCTCTCAGGACTCCACAGACCAAAAATGCAAGAATAAATGAAATATGATACAGGGACTAGACCAGGGGTTGGTAAACTACAGCCTGTGCCAAACACGGCCCATAGAGCTAAGAATAGTTTTTACGTGTTTAACCAAACAACATAAAATATGTGACGAGGACCATATGGGGCCCACAAAGCCTAAAATATTTACTATCTGGCCCTTTACAGAAAACGTGTGCCTTTGAACTAGATTAACACAGCTGGCAAGATTCATTCAATGTGTGTGTGTGTGTGTGTGTGTGTGTGTGTGTGTGTGTGTGTGTGTGTGTACAGTCAAGACACAGAGCAGATGTATTATGTTCAAAATGCTCATTGACTATAAGCCCTAAGAAGGCTGGGACAGTATTTTACATCTTTCTTGTTTGTCACTGCACCCCTAGAACCTAGGTCAGTGTCTGTGACACAGCAGGTGTTGAGTAAATACTTGCTGAATGAATAAACTGAGTTTTACAAAAAATAATCAATTCTAGGCCATACATAAAACCTCCAAGTCTAAATAAGAAGACTGTACAGGCTACAGTGCGACATCATCAAAATCAATAATTCTTTGCAGCCATTAAAGATATGACATAGATCTTTATTTATTGTGATGGACAGGTCTCCAAGACTTACTTTTAAGTAAAGTCATATAACCATACATAGAGTCCTCCTTGTGGAAAAAAGAGAGGGGGAAAAAACCCAAATGCATACACACTCACAGTATAAGCACACATTTCCATAGTACTTATTATGTGTCAGGCGCTATCTGAAATGCTTTATACACATTTACTCATAATACCCTCAATAACCCTATGAGCAGGTGCTATGATTATGGCCCTTTTACAGATAAGAAAACTGAGGCACAGAGAGGTTACCTCGTTTGCCCAAGGTTACACAGCTAGTCAGTGGCAGAGCTAGAATATGAACCCAGGCTCCAGGGTGTGTGTTCTTAACCACTGTATCATGCTTCTCTTGTGTGTGTATGTGTTTGTAAGTGCGTAGACAAAGATTTAGAAGGATACAAACTAACTGTTAATGAGTGGTTATCTTAGGGGAAAGAAATAAAATGGGGAGAGACAAGAGGAGGTGTGGAGGATTTCAACTTTATATCCTGTAAATTTTTATATTATGTCACTTTATTTACTTAAACTTTTTTGGCTGCACCGCGTAGCATGTGGAATCTTAGTTCCCCAACCAGGATCGAACCCATGACCCTGCAGTGGGAGCACAGAGTGTTGACCACTGGACCTCCGGGGAAGTCCCTATGTCACTTCAAAAAAATGAGCATGTATTCATGTATCATTTAATCACTTTTCAGATTATGTCAAAAGTGCAGGTGACAGATGATATAATTCATGAAAAAAAATGTATCTGTGCAGTAAAAAGGCTGCCAAGATTTACAGCTAACATTTATAGTATTGCATGGGAGAATGGAGGGCTGGGGTGCTTTTGCTTTCAATAATGCTCTACTGTTTTATTTTTTTCTTTTTATGAGCAATCATTTTTTTTTTAAAGCAAATGAGGTATGTGTTAAAGAGTTTTCCTTGCATGCATTTTCTTTCTTTTGATATCTGCCACTCAATACATTGATTTACATTCAATACTTCAATTACATCGATACGTTAATCAGTTCATGGTGTTCTGGGCGGAATACCATAATGCCAAACGACCACATTTGAGAACCATCGGCTTAGTTTATGCGACTAGATGGCTGTACCTGAGACATAGCTAAACACATCTGGTGCACGCTGTCAACAAATAAGCTCAGAAAACGAGGAGAAAGGAGCTATGAATAACTACAAAGTCAGATTCAGGGCAGTTTAGTAACAAAATGAAGATTAGCTGGAAAGGTATCAAACGTTGCATGGGCATTAATTAACTTATTTACTTATTTGTTTAAAAAAATAGCTTGCTCTATAACAGTGTTTTCTGCCTTTTACTTTAAAATCACCTGGAAAACTTTATAAAGGACCTCCGCTTGGGCTCCGCTCCCCAGCACCAAGAAACAGGACTTTCTGGAGGTGGGACTTGGGCATCAGTGTGTTTTATAAACTCCTTGTGAATGTCAGGTGCGGGATAGAGAACCCCTGCTCTGAAAGGATGAAGAGACTTCCTAGTGTGAGTGATGTGTGGTGATTTTAATAAAGTTATCTTTTTGCTAGTAAAAGAAAGCAGAGACATCATGCTACTAGCTTACCTTAAACTTGGCTTGATTCAGGCCTTGTGGCATACTGCTGTCTACTGCTAACGGAAAAATAAATGGACTGTTCTATTATTTGGAAGGGTAGGCAAATACCCCTTGAAAGTGAAATCTACGAAGGTGGAGGCACAAGGTAAAAGCAACGTCACGTAGCAAATGGTGGAGCTAATGTCACGGTCTCAGATCTGTAAATTTATATAGTACGTGTACTGCCACAAACGGATGCAGCACATACCAAGTCCTTACCTATTAAAAATAGCCTGTAGGGCTGCCTCGAAACGGCAAAGCACTCTGGGCGGGGCTGGCCACTTCACGTGCTTGCCATGGTCCCTCATGGTCTTGATGCCGTGGAAGCGTCTGGCCACCTCGTGGATGTACGACTTCACTTTGTAGCGCCGGTAGTATCTGATAATTGTCAGAGCTGCCTTGGTCCTCTTGTACCGCATACGAGCCAGGGTGCCCCGCCACACCTTCGCAATAGAGGGGAAAAAAAAGGAAAATGTTGCTGGTTGGCTGAGTAGTAGATCACATGGAAATCACAGAAGCTCCTTTACTTAGAAGCTCAACCTGGCAATTTGTATGCGTCACAAAATCAGCCAGAGCATGTCAGTTCTGCCTGCCACCAACAGGTGGCACTAGGAGTCACGTCCGTCATTTTGATTCAGTGACTAGCTAGCTGTTCGTTACCTCCAGAGGAGGAGTCCTGTTCTAACTTTACGGTCGTGTAAAGAAGAAAGCCAAAATACCATCATCTTTGGATAAATATTTTAAGAATGTTGAAAGGAAGCAAGATGAGTCAGAACACAAAGCCATCAGCATCCATAGTTCTCTTATGAAACCTAGCTTTGCATAGATTATACACATTGGCCACTAGTGTAATGTTGCATTGGACGTATGAACTGATTTATACAGTCTGTGCAGCTCCCCCTCCCCAGGTAAAGTCCCAAGAATTTAGATGTATTCCTGGAGAAAGGGTAAAAAGCAAGTTACTAATATGAATCTGTTCAATTTTTTCAGTGACCAGAAATCAATCAGACATTATGTAAACGTCTCAGCGCCTGCTTTATCCAAACACGGTGAGCTCACAGATACTTATATTTTTTTCAGGACCCCATACTTCTGAATCTCTCAAGTAAAAAGAAGTTTGGTGTAATCTTCATTATTGGCTCTTCCCCTAAATATGCTTTCTACCACCAAACGTATTCTTTCTTCCGCGGTATTTCCAGCATAAATCCCTTTCTTTCCCTTTCTGCTACTACAGTCCCAGGTCCCCAAACTTCCTCATTGTTTTCTTGGATAAACTCCTCGTACATATCGCCATCGCGCTCCAGGTGATACTCACTGCTGCTACTTAAATGACTGTCCCAATTCTACTTCCCTCCCTGTCTCTGGCCTCTCAGGACCAAGATATTCAACCTCCAGTTCAAAGCCCACAGTATGGGTTCTCCAGGATCGCTCAGCATTCTTTTATTTCTTCTTAGATCCCCATCTGTGCCCACCACTTTCTCTCAGAAAAACTGGTGTGATACCTCTTTTATTCAGCCATTTTAGGTTGGTCTTCATGAAGGCTCCTAAACAGGTACCATGTGCCTGCAAAGCCCTCCCTTTCCAGCCTGCTGTACAAATATGAGGAGGCCATCCACGGACCCCAAAGAGGAACTAATGGGTCAAGAAAAACCATGATATGTGAGGGAAACGCGACATAGGAGCAATTTCTGATGAACCTGGAGCTCACGTATAAACAGAATATATAAAGACAAAGAGGCAGTGAAAAGTCACTCATTGCTGCATGTGGCATCAGCACAGTAACCTGTTTTAGTCAAGATGCCTCTCTTCTTGTAGACGAATCTATCACGCACACAGCTTTGTCAGGCCTCCACCCAAGCGCTAAAATAAAGGTCCCTTCTTTACTATCTTGAAAAACCAAAAGAGTACAATTAGAGGGTAGGAATCTGTGATTCAATTTTTTAAAGAAAACACATTTTTAAAGTTTTATACTGTTTGTTACTTTTTTTTTTTTTTTTAAGAGGAAGGACATTAAGACCCCCCTGGAGCCACATTTATACAGGAAATCAATCTTATGATTTTCAAAAAGTGTTTTATAAAGATGTTTTATTAAAATGTTTTTGGTTAGACTCTAGTATAATCTGAAAAAATACATATAAGTAGGTACTTTTTAAGGGGTAGGTTTTTTTTTGGGACAACCTTTTAGATTTCATCTGTGTTCTTAGTTTATTTAGGTTTTGTGTAGTTGAAAAATCAGATGGCACAAAAATGCTATAAAAAAGACAGCAGCCCTTCCCCTTGTCCACCTAAGCCCACCTCCCCATCTCACAGTGTCATTTCATGCCAACTATTTTAACTGCTGCTTCTCGTGGCAGTTAAATACACATATAATTTATTTATATGTATACACACATATATACACAGTATACACATATGCTGTATAATACACATATACTGTTATTTCTTGGTGGATCCTTTGAGACCCTATCCAAATTACAGAAATTGGTGATTTAGCTCTCCTACCATCACTTACCTCTCCTTTATAATCCCAATAATAATTACATCAAAAATTTTAAGTCAATAGTGTTTACATTATTACATCTCTTATATTAACTATATTATTTGGGAGAAAGGAATTTTGTGAGCCTGCAGTTATATCATCAACTTTATCAGAAGTCCCTTCGGCTTTATTTATTTTTCTAACATCAGAGAAAAAGTAGCAGCGAAAAACTACGGAGGCAAATGATTTCTATGCAAGAAAATGATTCACGTATTTTCCCTTATAATCCCTTATAAATGGATATGCTCCCCAGGCCTTTGTGTGGGAGAAAGGCTGTGGTTGATCATCTCATGAAGGGTCTGAAGGTTGGAACTTAAGGTATGAGACAGATCTTCCCGTTTCCCTCTTTGTTTAAAGAGCTTAAACGGTGGGGGTTTTTCAAGTCATACAAAGCTTACCTCCAGAGGGGACTCAGCCTGATGATAGTGTCTAAAAAGGGGGAAAACTAAATGTTATATTCAATAAGCAAATGCTTAATGCTTATTTGATTATGCCTAGAGAGGTTCAGCAAAAAACCAGGGAGCCAGAGGGGCCCTCATTCAACAATATGAACACGAAAAGTGGAACCAACCAGACATTATGTGCTTTAGGATCTGATGCAAGAGAGTGGGGGCTGAACCCTGAAGGGGACCTGATGGGATCTGGGAGAGGAAGTTATCAGAAGGTACAAGGCAGGGATCAGGGTGACGGAGAGGGCAAGCAACTCATTTCTTAGGTGGAACCAAGGATAGAGGCGAACAGAGCGGGTGAACTGGAGGACACACTGAGGTATAAAAAGAGAACATTGGGGCCACAGGTCACACATCCCTGCTACTGAATTTTAGACACAATTCCTCTCTTCAGTACCTTGACCCCCTACAGTTAATTTTCAACACAGCAGCCGAGTGATCCCTTTTTTTCATTTTAAATTAATTCATTAATTAATTTTGGCTGCGTTGGGTCTTCACTGCTGCACACGGGCTTTTTCTAGTTGCAGCAAGCGTGGGCTTCTCATTGCAGTGGGTTCTCTTGTTGCGGGGCACAGGCTCTAGGCGCGCGGGCTTCAGTAGTTGCGGCCACGGGCTTAGTTGCTCCGCGGCATGTGGGATCTTCCCAGACCAGGGCTCGAACCCGTGTCCCCTGCATGGGCAGGCGGACGCTTAACCACTGCGCCACGAGGGAAGTCCCCCGAGTGATCCTTTTAAGACCAAAGTCAGATCGTGTCACTTCTCTGCTTAAAACACTGCCGCGGTGCTCCAGCTCCCCCAGAGTGAAAGCCAAAGCCCCTCCCCTGGCCCACAAGGGCCACATGAGCTGGTACTGTCACCACCCAGCTCCTTTCACTGTCCTCGTCCTGGCTCACGCCAGCCACACTGGGCCCTGCTCTACCCTGCACAGGCCTCCTGTCTCAGGGCCTTTCCTTCTGCCTGGAAGGATCTTCCTCCAGATATCATATCACGTGTCTATCTTCCTCACTCTCTAAGTCCGTGCTCAGCTGTCACCTTCCCAATGAGCCCGGCCCTGAACATCTATGTAAAAAATTCCCCTTGTCCACCCTCCCCTCCTGGTACTCTCCACTCTCTGTACCATGCTCTATTTTCTTCTCTTGCTTCCAGCACTTAACACTCTACAACACCTGTAATTTACATATGATTGTATCGTTTATGCTCTCCCTCTACTGGAATTTAAGCTCTACTAGGCCAGGGATCTTTGCTTCTTTTGCTCACTGATGAATCTCCACTGCCTGGAACAGTGCCAAGGACATAGTAGCCACTCAATAGTATTTGTTGGCTCGTATGGCACATACCCTGAGAAAACTGTAATTCACAAAGAGTCATGTACCACAATGTTCACTGCAGCTCTATTTACAATAGCCAGGACACGGAAGCAACCTAAGTGTCCATCGACAGATGAATGGATAAAGAAGATGTGGCACATATAAACAATGGACTATTACTCAGCCATAAAAAGGAACGAAATTGAGTTATTTGTAATGAGGTGGATGGACGCAGAGACTGTCATACAGAGTGAAGTAAGTCAGAAAGAGAAAAACAAATACCGTATGCTAACACATATATATGGAATCTAAAAAAAAAAAAAGAAAGGTTCTGAAGAACCTAGGGGCAGGACAGGAATAAAGCCGCAGATGTAGAGAATGGCCTTGAGGACATGGGGAGGGGAAGGGTAAGCTGGGACGAAGTGAGAGAGTGGCATGGACATATATACACTACCAAATGTAAAATAGACAGGTAGTGGGAAGCAGCCGCATTGCGCAGGAAGATCAGCTCGGTGCTTTGTGACCACCTAGAGAGGTGGGATAGGGAGGGTGGGAGGGGGACGCAAGAGGGAGGGGATATGGGGATATAGTATATGTATAGCTGATTCACTTTGTTATACAGCAGAAACTAACACACCATTGTAAAGCAGTTATACTCCAATAAAGATGTTTAAAAAAAAATAGTATTTGTTGAGTGACTGAATGTTTTCAACTTCATCTTGCAAGCCTGATATTGAAACTTTCATTTTTGCTGTCACGTTTTCCACTTTCAAGAACTCATCCTCGTTCTCCAAATAGCTCTTTTAAAAGCATGTTGGGCTTCCCTGGTGGCACAGTGGTTGAGAGTCTGCCTGCCGATGCTAGGGGACACGGTTTCGTGCCCTGGTCGGGGAAGATCCCACATGCCGCGGAGCGGCTGGGCCCGTGAGCCATGGCCGCTGAGCCTGCGCGTCCGGAGCCTGTGCTCCGCAACGGGAGAGGCCACAGACCCAAAAAAAAAAAAAAAAAAAAAAAAAAAAGCATGTTGCTCTTGTTTTACAAAAGCATCCTTCCTCTCAAGCAGATGAATTCTGGTTTTACTTTTTATGCTGCTCCCTACATTGCATCTGTAACCTATAAATCCCCTCTTCTCCCGTTTGTCTTTGTCT